AGTAGATGGGGTAGAGAGAGAAGATGGGAGGGGAGGGAAGGGGGGATAGTAGAGGATAGAAAAGGTAGCAGAATACAACATACACTAGTATGGCATTATGTAAAAATGTGGATGTATAACCACGTGATTCTGCAATCTGCATTTGGGGTAAAAATTGGGAGTTCATAACCCACTTGAATCTAATGTATGAAATATGATATGTCAAAAGCTTTGTAATGGGGCTGGGGATGTGGCTCAAGCGGTAGCGCACTCGCCTGGCATGTGATCGGCCGGGGTTAGATCCTCAGCACCACATACAAACAAAGATGTTGTCTGCTGAAAACTAAGAAATAAATAATATCTCTCTCTCTCTCTCTCTCTCTCTCTCTCTCTCTCTCTCTCTCTCTCTCCCTCTCTCTCAAAAAAAAAATTCTCTCTTCTCTATCTTTAAAAAAAAAGAGCTTTGTAATGTTGTGAACAATCAATAAAAAAAAAAGATTAAACCAAAATCTGGACACAGGGATGCATGCCTGCGATCCCAACAACTCCAGAGGCTGAGGCATGATGATCTCAAATTCAAGGCCAGCCTCAGCAATTTAGAAAGATCCTGTCTCAAAATTTAAATAAATAAAAAGGATGTGACTTCGTGGTGAGGCACCCCTGGGATCAATCTCCAGTACTAAAAAATTAAACAAAACTTCACTACAAACTAATAATACTGTTGCCGTAAAAGGACCACTTGCTGAATTCTCAAGATAATTTACTTTTGGAAACTAATATTTCTTTATTCAACCATTGCATGATTTATAGTAGATCATTAAAGTTTTAGGACTTAAAAATCCATTCTAATATGAGAGCTATAAGTAAAGATTCTAAACATTCTGAGATGCATAAGACACTTTTTACCTTATTGAAACCTTGTACATCCCAGTATATCTGAAACCTCATGGAGTTAGTTGTGCTCATAAAACTACCCCTAAAGAGACCATCAGTTTTTCAGAAGAATTAGAAAGTTGGTATTTAACTAGTTGAATTAGATGTTTATTTGTCAAACTGGTATGGAAGAAATCCTTCCTTAATGGCTTCACCCACCACTTAACTCCACATTAAACCAAACTTAGAGACAAGATGGGGTTTAGCCACAAAAATGTGGCATCTATCTATCAGAAGGCCTTCCCTCTACTGCCTACTTCCTAAGCATCAATTATGTCTTAGAGACTTAACTCTAATGGCCTAGACAACAGTCTAGGTTTACCTTCTTCACTTGGTTTCTTAAGGGGCTTTTATAAGGGGGTACTGTTTTTTTTTCTTTTAAATTCTATAAAATGTCCTCAGTTACTATAGTTTGAATCTGGAATATCCCCAAAGGCCCATATATGGTAAAGGCTTAATTTCCATCCAGTGGCACTGTTGGGAGGTGGTGGAGCCTTTGAGAGGTGGGGCCAAGTTGGAGGTTTAAGATCACTGGAGGAATTTCCCTGAAGAGAACTGTGGGACCATAGATTCTTCCTTTTTCGTTGCTCCTGATCATCAGTATGAATGGCTTCCTTCCACCACATGCTCTGGCCATAATGTACTATCTCAAAAGGACCAATCGGCCTTGGACTAAAAACTCCAAAACTCTGAACCAAAGTAAACCTTTACTCTTTATTTTCTGTTTGTTTTTTGTGATACTAAGGGTTGAAAACAGGGCCTTGCTCATGCTCTACCATTGAAATATGCCTTTCAATCCTCAATCATTTTTTTTAGACAGGGTTTTACTAAATTGATCACAAATTCAAATTTGTGATCCTCCTCCCTCAGCCTCCCCAATAGCTGAGACTGCAGGTATGTGCCACCATATCCAGCTCACCTTTACTTTATTCTTTTTAAAATTTATTGTGCCAGGTATTTTGTTATAGTTATGGAAAGCTTATCAACATATGAGAGTACAATGCAGTGAATAGCCACAATCTTTAAAACAATTACACATACTGATTTTTTTACTCTGCACTAAAGAAGACTACATATGCACTTGTAGCAAATTCACAAAATGTGCTCTCCAAACATAGGTTAGAAAAATGTGTTCTAACAGTGGCTAACTTAAAACTTCCTTTAATTTGGCTATTGGACATACTGAAAAATGACAAATAAAATATGTAACAGAAAACTTCTCTTCTTGTTGGGATGAGGAATATTAGAAAAGTATTTCTATTAACATTTTATAATGAGACCTGTTGTTTTTCTAAAGAAAAACAACAGGTCTCATTATACCCATCCCTTTTATCTATCTCCATTAACATTAAAACCATTAGAGGTTTAGTGTTTAATGTTATATTTGAGTTGATGGATGTTCAGGGTGGGAAGACATAAGGATGATTCCAGTTCAGGAACTGGATGGATGATTCATTGATAGAAACATAAATTAAAGGAGGGTCATTTTGAAGAAAAGATAGGAATCAGAGGCAAAGGAGAAAGAATTAGACTGGAACCACAAATTTTTAAATTATTCTACAAAAGAAATGAACCAAACAGGCTCTAGAATTTTTACCCTGAAAAAAAAAAAACAAAACAGGTCTGTCCTTTTCTGTGTGGGTGAGGCCAAGACCTTGTTCTGATCAGTGTGTTGAAAAGATTCACAAAATGCTGCACTCTTAGTTCACATTTGTGTTAGTGCACACAGTTATGCTAATTCCATTGTACTTACCCTGAAACTGTCACATCTCAAGCACACCTGAACATGTCTGAGAACGTGATGTATACACAGAGGACCAAGGAGACAACAGGGAAATAACATGGTAAGTTGAGGTAAGATCCCTGGCAGGGTATCAAGCCAAGGTAAGACGAAGCTTTTTTTCTGAATAAAATATGTGCCTATTGCTCACTTTACACTCCCAGGCCTCAGGATCACTCATATTCCTCATGTCCTCTACTGAATCTGGTTCACTGAAAGGAAACACAGATACCGCCATGAAGCTTTAAGAACACAAAATAAAGCCACACTAGGACAGGTGCTTTTTCAGAATAATCATGGCAAAGATTAATGCCATGGACCAGAGCCCTCGGTCTTGATGGAAGTATGGCAGAGGGCATCATCCTTTCAGAAAGCATTGTGTCCTTGGCAGTGCTGTTTTGAGGGATGAGGCCATCGGGCACTGACACCCCTGAGAGACCCCAGAGCCTCGTTATCAGATACCAGGGCAATCAGGAGACGAGTTCCTCACTTTGCCATCAGCAAAGACAGACCACATTATAGTCCCATATGAACAAAATGCCATAGAATGGCAATTTATTGTTTTAGTCAAGATTTTCATTGCTGTGAACAAAATACCTGACTAGAATAACATGGAGGAGGAAAATTTTATCTTGTCTCACAGTTTCAGAAGTTCAGTCCATGGTCTGTTATCCCCATTGCTCTGAGCCTGAGAGGAGGCCAGACATGATAGTGGAAGGGTGTGGCAGAAAAAGCTACTCAGATCCTGACAGCCAGGAAACAGAAAAAATGTGCGTCAGGAAGGACAGATATAGTCCCTAAGACCATGCCCCCAGGGAACTACTACCTTCCAGCCCCAGGGAACTACTTCCATCAAAAGGGTTAATATATTGACATAATCCAATTGTTGCCTAAAATCCCCACTTCTGTACCTTGGGTACCATGCTTTCAACACATGAGCTTTTGGGGGGACATTCCAGATCCAGACTATAACATTTATGAACAACAGAAATTTATTTCTCACAATTACAAAGGCTGGAAAGTCCAAGATCAAGGAGATGGCAGATTTGTTGTCTATCAAGGACCTATTTTCTGTTTCATAGAGGGCTCTCTCTCACTAAGTCCTCACATGATGGAAGAAGGAAGGAGTATCTCTAGGGTTTCTTTTATAAGGGCACTAATCCCATTCAAAAGGGCTCTATCTTCATGACCTAACCACCTTCCAAAGGCCCCCACTTCCTAATACCATCACCTTGAGCATTAAGAATTCAACATCTGGATTTGGAGAGGGAACATAACCACTGAGACTAAAGCAATGGCCCTAGGGATTTCAACAACACCATGGCTTGCTTTATTTGATCCTTTCTATTAGGTTTTCATGGAATTTTTAACAAAACTATAACTGTCAAATGTTATGCATTGTCTACACAAAAGTAGGACAAACCATCCCTGGAAAAATGGGACATGTTAGATGCTTCACAGTAACCCAAGAAGAACATGTTAAATTATTCCATGCTTCCAAAGCCATGTAAGAAGAACCTGAGAATTTAGAATTTTCAGAGTTTATAGAGGCAGAAGCAGAACCAGAGAAATGCTACTTTGTGATTTATTTTAATTTTAATTTTAATCTTAGTCTAGCATGTCTTCAGAAATAGAAGTGGTATACATCCATAATCCCAGCAACTCAGAAGACCGAGACAGAAGAATCACAAGTTCAAGGTCAGCCTAGACAACTTTGTGAAATTTTGCCTCAAAATAAAAAACAAAAAGGACTGGGAATATAGCTCAGTAGTAGAATCACCCTGGATTCAATCCCTAGCAACACATGAAAAGGAAGGCAGGAAGGAGGGAAGGAAGGAGGGAAGGAAGGAGGGAAGGAAGGAGGGAAGGAAGGAAGGAAGGAAGGAAGGAAGGAAGGAAGGAAAGAGGCTATACAAACAGAACAAACAAGAAATTTTATAACTCCTACCAATTCCTGTACATTAAAAGTGTTGACATTTAAACAAACACACCACATAATTCAGAAATTTCTGATTTTTTTCTAGGAAAATATTTGAATTATATCTCAGTTCCCTATTCCACCCCTGGCAATGAAATGCTCATAGCAATTATTCCTCTCTTACCATCTTTGTAGTTGTATGGGCCTCTTATACTTA